AGTTAATTTTGGACCTTGAAAATTGGACCCGATTGTGACTCTTTGATTGGGTCCCTTGTAGTTTTTCTGCGACTCTGTACGTCAGGCATGGAGAAGAAATGGGGCTCATATTTGTGCACGTTCTAGCTACTCAATAACCTTCTTCTTTTTTTTTTTGTGCACAATAAAGATTTTGGGGAGATAAATTAAAAAAAAAAAATCATGAGTGACTAAATTGTGATTGTACAACAGAATCTAATAATAAATCTGATGATTGAAATATATTCATGATTTTTGTTTAGTCTCACTATATGTTAGGATCCTCGTCAGACCCACCTATATTCCAACCAAAATATTTTAGAATTTATTAAATATAGAAATGTTATTGCTTGTATCATTGACATCCAAGAACAACACTAGTGGTTTAAAAGATTGATTTTTTTTTTCTTACCCCTTGTATAGATTGAGGACCATGGGGTCAATAGGGTGGTCCAGAATCTTCCATGTAGGGACTCTTCAGCAGAAGTGGCCATTTCATTTCTGAAAAATAATTGTTGAGCCAATAATTTTCGTTCGTATACGTGCTCTGAAATTGCATTTAGTGTGTGTTTAAAAATCTCTCTCTAATATATATATATATATATATATATATATATATATATGTTAAATAATATAATTTTATTTATTAAAAATAAAATAATATTTTTAATTTAATTTATATATATTTTATTTATATTTAGGTGACTAAATACTTATAATAAATAGATAATTTAGAATTTTATTTTTTTTTATGTTTGATTTTAATTATTTTAAAATAATATCAGAAATAGTTTTATAAAATAAAATTTAATCCTGAACATAGCTTCACAGATCCAATTATTATTTGATATTTAGAGTGATATTTTGTTTTTCCTTTATCTTCTGTAATTTGATATTTTTATTTAATTTTTGTAATTATTTTAGTATTTCATCTTCTTTCCAGTTTTTGTAATTTAGTATTTACATTTAGTTTATATAATTATTTTTATTTTTATTTTTAACATGTTATTTTATTTTTTTAATTTTTTAATAAAAAATAAAATAATTTTAAAATTAATTTTGATTGATCTAGTGATTTAAAGATTAATTAACCAGCATGATTCAGATTCTAGACAAATATAAAATAAAAGATATATGAAAGTATTGTAGTAATTATTTTTTAAATGGTTTTGAAATGTATTAAAATAATAATTATTAAAAAATAATATTTTTAATATTAACATATTAAAAAAATTGAAAAAATAAAAAAATAAATTTTATAAAATAATATTCAATCCATATTCATACGTACGAGATCTATGATTGTAACCTCGGCTGTCTATTTCAAGAGGCATAGGTGGAACCACGTTTCTTCTTGACGTCGGCCGTGACTTATGGTTTTCTTTTTAATGAAAGAGAGTGAGAGAGAGAGAAAGCACTATAAAGCAAGTGAATTTTACAATTTCAACAGGGGAGACTACAAGCACATTTGTGTTTTTTTTTTAATAAATATTTCTTAATTAAAATAAATTTTCTTTTCATATCTTTTAAAGTTCTTAATATTAATATTTCAAAAACAATTAAAAACACCTAAAAAAATCATATTGAAAGAATAATTTTAAAAACACTTTAAAAGGTATATCAAAACTTAGAATATAAAATACTTAATTTTCATTTCCCCCCCTTCTTCTAGCCGCATTCTGAACAGTGTAAAACCAGGTGAACTGAACCAATCCATTGCCGCAAGACTAATATAATCTTTGATAACTTGTACCCCCAGAATCTTCTTAAGATATTGATTTTTGGGGTTGGTGGTGTCCATAAGATTAACTTGCTGCTAATCTTCGTGGACCATCCCTTTTCCCATCATGATCTTCCTCTTTTAGAATGGAATCGCAATCATTTTACTTTACAGGGCCGCAGCATTATTGCTACTGCAACACCAACTCCTCCTTTTCTTCTCTGTGGAAGAAAGATGAAGAAGAAGAAGAAGACATTTCAAGGCTTGCCTTGATGGATATATAATTGTCTTTGGAAAGATATTGATTTTATTGAGCGTAAATCATAAATTATGTGAAAGGAATTAATGAATAAAAAACATGAAGGTTTCAATTTTAGTTTAGAAAAATTATAATTCAATAAAGGTATTTGATTTATTATGATTTGTTATGTAAGGAATAATAGGATATTACATATAATCTTTTAATTAAAATCTAAATCTTAATTTAAAAATAAATATTACGTTCAACTAATGTAATGGGATTCATTGTATTCATAACATGAGATGGATGGTTGTATTAGTAAGTAAAACTTTAGGGGTAGATCGGATGGCTGTGGTTGACCTGGCTCAAAACATTAATTCCCTTTAAAGCTATATTTAAAACTTTCATTTTGATATTTGTTAATAATATTATAATAAATTAAAATATTTATTATAAGGGTGATAAAATTTAAATTCATAATCATTTAGTTATCAAAGTTTAGATATCAAATCACATAATTATTTTAATTAAAAAAATTAAATTATTAAATAAGATTAAGATATATAATTTAAATTATTTTTTAACAATGCTAAGATTACATTACTTTCTTCAACCAACTTCATGTATATTTTTATATTTATTTATATTAAAAAATAATATAAATTATATCTTAAAATCTCATCTAATAATTTAAATTACCATACAAGATTCTAAGAATAATTTTATATTACAATTGAAGATTTTTTTTAAATAATATTCGAGCAGTTAATTCAATTGCTTTTCCTTTACCTTGATTTGAATTACACAATGGGATCTTTATATGTTTTCACGAGGCTCGAATACCAATATATATATATATATAGTTTCATGCAGCCATTTTTGTGGATTACCTAGCTAGCTTCAACAGATCTAATTATGCCGACTATTGAACATCTATATATTTACATCTACACAGAAGGAAAAAAAACAAAAAAACAAAAAAACAGGACCAGAACTTTCAATTTGTTTGTTAGCTCAGCTGACAAGATACAAAGCAGGACCAGAAAAATTCAACCATGGATGTCAGTTCAAAATTGAAACCTTACTACATTGTCAGAGGATATGATTCTTCGATTACTAGGTAAGAAATTGGTGTATGATTCAAACGTGAAATAATGACAGATCGCTCATAGTATGGACATGGTTAGTTTAAATGTCATATTCTCCTAGGTTGCTTCAATTTTCCATGCGTCGGTCGTTCCTATCAAACAATTAATTCTTCTCGAATCTAATTAATTAGGTGATAAAAGGGTTGTTAAATAATTCAAAAAAACTATATTATTTTAATCATCTAACTGGAATTTTTAGAAGACTAATCCCACTAAATGTATAATTTGTTCATGCATGCGCCTACATTAATCTGTTTATATCTTCCGAAACTTCATGGATACTACTTTCATGGCCGACTTAGGGCAACTTACCTTATTGTCAAATTTACAGGATGTATTTTCTTCGCATGGTGGAAGCACTTCAAGTAGTTTGGAACCAGTTCGATCGATTTTGATGGAACTCATAAGATTGATCTACGATTGTTTTATGAAGTAATGAGATCAAAATTGACCGTGGAAAAGTCCATAATAATTACGTAAATATATCGACGTATAGAATTTTGCGAAGTCATATATATATAGCTCTTAATTTCTTCTTGAAGTGAGAGCATATATAGAATCTAATCATTTTTTTACTTTATCTTTTTTCCTGTTTTAATCACAGCGACATATTTTCTTTACCATTTTTTTTTTTATGGCTAGAGTTCATCTTTTCAGTCCAATCATATTATGTTATTATTGTAAAAAAAAATATAAAATTGAGGCTTTTCCTAACCATTAACTTAAATTTTTAGTTTTTAGGTTGTTATAACTTTTTGAAATGATATCAAATTTCAATGATCAAATATATAGTTATAAGTTTAAATCTTAGTATTCATGTTCTAACTAATTAATTATAAGATAATATTAAATATGTGTAAATTTTAAGTTTTAAGTGCAAAAAATTTATATTTGAAATTGTGCGTGTTAGATAAAAATAAAAAAACTAGTATTGAGACTTTACATATCTAAATTTTAAGTCTAAAATACTTTTACGAGAAAGAGCGTAATAGAAAATGAAGCTTTATGTGTTTTTAATAATCTTTTTTTTTTTACCAATCTCAATTATTGAAATTGGATTTTATAAAATTTTAGGTTGATTTTTTTATGCATGTTAATTGAATTGAAAAGGATGATTTTTTGAACAACTATATTCCCAATAACAATTGTGTTCAACTACTATATATTCTCAACAATAATTGTCTTGAAACTTTATTATTTCTGTAATATTTTTATAACATATGTTATGTTTTCAAAACTTTTATGAAACCTTGTTAGTATTTTAAAATTGTCCATATTTTTTAGAGAAAGTTATTTGTTATTTAAATTCTAGATCTCACAAGTTGGTACATTGCAATTTTTTTTTTTCATAATTAATATCATCCCAAGTGGAATTATATTGCAAGAATTTCAAAACAATGATCCATATGGGCGTTGCACAAATTCAAAGTTTGGTCATGATTTGCTAACGTTCATGTCAAAGACCTTGACTGGTCAAGCCAGGATGCTTTAATCATTGATCAACATGATTAAATAACTTTTCACTGAAACCATTCATGTTTCATTACATGGGTCCTCTAGACATGAATTTTTGAAGCTCAAAAGATGCTGGCTGAGAGTCTCCGTCTTTATATACTAGTAATCTCTTCCGTGAGTTGCATTATCATCAAGGATTGCTTAATTTATTAAGATCCTGCTTGTTAATAATAAGATTAGAATTTTTTTTCATAATACAGTATGGATTAAAAAAAATATCAAATTGAAGTTTTTTTAATTTTTTAATTCAGTATAGTTTATATCAAAAATGTTAAAATAAATAAAAAACTATTAAATTAATGTTTCTTAGTTTGAATTTATTTTTATTAAAATTCTTTTCGCATTGTCGGACACCCTAGGAATCAAAGTGAGAGACTTGAACTTCTTACAATGTAATTGGAAGGGAAGAAAATGAGGCGAAATGAAAATTCAAGGTGAATGGAACTTTCCCTTGTTTGAAAAGGCGAGAGAAAATGAAGAGAGAAAAATGGGAGAAAAAACTTGGAAGGAGAGGCTGTTCGTATCATAAAATATCAAATACATGATAGGGACAGTTATGAAACTACAAGGGAAAAGATCTCTCTCAGAAGTCTAATCAAGACAAAACATTTATATGGAAGGAGAGAGATGTGCTCTGGCTCTGGCTCTGGCTGACAACTTCAAAGCTAACCACTGTCGCTGCAAAGTTAATCCACCTACTTGTTTTACCTTTACCTATAAACCACTTCAATGCTAAAATCTTGAATAAGAGCCATCCATTGGTCCACCGAGTGACCTAACCCTCTTGTTTTTACCAAAACCGAGAAGCAGACAGCTAGTACCATGAAAAATTTCCGTGGAGAAATGAGGCTGGGTATGTAGCTGCCTGGCTGGGTATTAGCGGTAGGACCATAGGTTTTCTGCATCGGAATTCCCTGGTGAATCATCAGAAGATGGCGTGTTTATTCTTGGTGGACTTACGAGCATTCCTCCTGCCATGTCAACTAGCAAATTGGGCAGGTTCAAAAGTTCTTCCTCGTCGATGAATTCCTGTCCTGATTGAATGTCGGCAGTGGTAGTGCTGGATGATGTGCCTTCTGTTTCAAGCTGGTCCAATTCAGGATTTGGCCCAGCTTCAGGTCTCGGCGACCTGCTTGATGCTGCACTAGCAGCTGCAGCCCTTATATCACTAGAGGATGCTGAGGCTGGTATTGGGTAGGAAAGAATCGATTCAGGGAAATTTAGTGGTGTATCAGGGCCTTTAAGGGCTAGAGCCGCCGCGGCAGA